GCATGAGTGGTTGCAAGGACTCGTTAGGTGCTAGCTCTGCCCCAACTTGTGATAACATATTAAACATTTACATTCGACAAAAAATTGTTGGAAAATTCCAACATATATAGGGCCACACATGTATATAAATTAAAATGTGTGTTACTATCTTAAAGTTTTAATCCATTAAAGTGATCCATCGGGTTTAATTTTGGACTTATGGGTATTAAGTGTTATGAGATTAAGGTGTAGAGACCGGGTGATTGTTTTAAATTGATGAGTGGCCAATTTAAAACAAACAAAAGATGATAACTACCTATAGTTATTTATCATGTGGTCATGGTCCCCAACTGCACGTGAAATTTTTTAGATTCTTTGCATCCCCATCAACAGAGAGTTTTTCAAGAATTCAAAAGGAATTCACGTAACAGTTGAAGGATTATAATCCGAACAAAATCAATTACAATTTATGGATTAAGGTACGCTTCCGCTTTCATCTTGTTCTCTTTGATTCAACGTGGAGCATTACGATTTTGGTGAAAAATCTGTTGATTCCTTTCTAATCTGAATTTTCAAGAAATATCTATCAATTGGTATCAGAGCCACTCCATTATTGAACCTTTGAGAAATTTTGGGTTATTTGATCTTCTTCACGTTATTATTCGGAATTTGGCATGAAATTTGGATCAACTGTATGAGAAATCGGGCACTACAATTTCCTACTTAAACTTTCTGAAAATCGAATTTTCTTGCATATGTTGCTCATTGTTGTTATGCCATGAAACCAAATTGTGGGTTGTGCTTTTACTGTTCTTGTTTTGCTTATACGGTTGGTTTAAGTTTGAAATGGATCAAGTCAGGGAAAATCATGAATTTGCTGTGTATAATCTGATTTCAGTTTTGAGGAATTGCTGGGCATAATTTGTTTTGAAGTTGTTGTGTGCATTTTTTTTCGGTTTGTGTGCTGCAGATCGCTGCACCACGCAGCGCTGCTGTCACTGCTGCGAAAGCAACAGCGGCTGTTGGTGGCAGCAGCAGCACCTGCGACCGGCGCTGTTGTTCCGGTGCAAGGCTGCTCCGGCGTTGGAGGAGGCAGGGAGAAAGAGATTAAAAAAAAAAAGGGTTTCTAGGTGATTGTGGGGACGGGGGCTTCAGGTGCAATATGGGTTATTCCAAGGACCTTCTTGCAATTTTTATTTAGGTTAAAATTTAAAGTTTCAGCCCCTGTAGTTTAGAATTCATCCAATTGGGCCATTTAAGTTCTGGGTTTAATAATTCAGCCCCCTAAGTTTGAAAATTAATTAATTTGGGTCATTTAACTTCTGAATTTTACAATTAACGCCCTCAATGTTCATAATTAATTAAAATTGGCCCCTAAAGTTTTAAAATTTTCAAATTTTAACTTCTAAAGTATTGAATTATTAACCCTTAGGTCCCTAAAGTTTCCATAGACATCTATTGATGCAAATTGGGGTTTCCCTTCTCAAATTTCGGTACTAATATTTCTTTAAGAGGTATTAATTAAGGTTTAATTATTTGGGACAATCTAATTCAAAATTTTGGTAATCATTTATAAAAAATTAAGGTTGTCTAGCATTTTAAGTAAACTAATTGAAACAACATGTCACCAAAGTGACCTCTTTTATGTAGATTGGTTTGTTTAGGATGCTTGGATGTTGTGTGTGTGTCTTTTCATACGGAAATTAGCTAGCTCAAAAAAAGGTTAATATCTGGCCGAATTACATAAACACTTGTGGTGATGAATGTGTGATAATTATGAGGTTTCCATGTGAATAATAAATCAATCCAAAGATGAATTTATTATTTGACAGGAGTTATTGTCAATATTTGATCACTACACTGAGAGTACCACTTGTAATGAATATTATTGTCCAAAGACTTGATATTGATGTTGCACTAGGTATTTTGAGATGAGATTTACCATTATTTGAATTTATCAATTATTAAATGTGGATATTAAATCGAGCATAATTAATCTTTTTTTTTTATTTTGTTCTCTCTACAACTAGCTCATCTGCTACCATATCTGCCAATATTAATTCTATTCACATACTTAATGAGACAAATTTCAAGGATTGAAAGGAGAACATATTGATTGTTCTTGACTGCATGGATCTAGACTTTGTTCTTCGGCTAGAGCAACCCACTCCTCTTACGGAAGAAAGTTCACCTGATGAAAAGAGGAACTTTGAGAAGTGGGATCGCTCAAATCGCATGAGTCTAATGATCATTAAGCGCGGCATTCCAAAAGCCTTTAGAGGTGCAGATACCAAAGAGGTATCTAATGCCAAGGAGTTCCTTGCAGAAATTGAGAAGCGTTTTGCGAAAAACGATAAGGCTGAAACAAGCACTCTTTTGCAGAGCTAGATTTCAATGAAGTATAGAGGCAAGGGGAACATAAGGGAGTACGTCAAGGAGATGTCTCACATTGCTTCAAAACTTAAGGAACTAAAGCTCGAGCTGTCTGATGACTTGCTCATCCATTTGGTATTGATCTCGCTTCCTGCACAATTCAGTCAATTTAATGTCAGTTATAACTGCCAGAAGGGGAAATGGTCTCTAAATGAGCTCATTTCATATTGTGTGCAAGAGGAAGAAAGGTTGAAGCAAGAAAGGACTGAAAGTGCTCACTTGGCAAGCACTTCTAAAGATAAGGGCAAGAAAAGGAGGAAGGAATATGAAGCTGCTCATAAGGGTCCAACACAAAATAAAAAGAAGGAAGACAAAGGAACTTGTTTCTTTTGTAACAAAACTTGACATGTGAAGAAGGATTGTGCCAAATATCGCGATTGGAGTGCAAAGAAAGGTACAATTCTTACTTTGGTTTGTTCTGAGGATAATTTAACTTCAGTACCTAGAAATACTTGGTGGATAGATTCTGGTGCTACTACTCATATGCTTCTATGCAGGGCTGCCTGAACGACCGAAAGCCAAATGATAGTGAAAGATACATCTATGTGGGTGATGACAAATCGGTGGAAGTTGATGTAATAGGCACTTTTAGGTTGTTATTAAGAACTGGTTATTATTTGGAATTGAAAGACACTTTCGTTGTACCATCTTTTAGACGGAATTTAATTTCTGTTTCTTCGTTGGACAAATTTGGATATTATTGTTCATTTGGAAACAATCAGTTTAGTTTTTTGTTAAATTCAAATGTTATTGGTACTGGTTCGTTATCTATATATGATAACCTATATTTGCTTGATATTATTGCATTATATAATGAAACCTTGTATGTGGAATCACATGGTACTAAACGTAAATTAAATCAGCAAAATTATGGTACAAGCGCTTAGGTCACATATCAAAAGCTAGAGTTGAACGACTTGTGTCAGATGGTATTTTGGATTCCCTTGACTTTGCGAATTTTGATGTATGTATTGATTGTATCAAGGGAAAACAAACCAAAACATAGAGATTAGGTGCTAACAAAACTTTGGATGTCTTAGAATTGATATATACAGATATTTGTGGACTGTTTCCTACGGCTTTCTGGAATGGTCAACAATATTTTATATCATTCATAGACGATTACTCACGTTATGGGTACCTATATCTCATTCATGAAAAGTTTGAGTCACTGGACATGTTCAAAATTTTTAAAACTGAGGTTGAAAATCAACTCAACAAAAGGATAAAGAGCGTTAGATCTGATCGTGGTGGTGAGTACTATGACAGATATGATGGATCAGATGAATAATGTCCAGGACCATTTGCTAAATACCTAGAGGAATGTGGAATCGTCCCTCAATACACTATTCCAGGATCGCCTAGCATGAATGGTGTAGTTGAAAGATGAAACAAAACTCTTAAAAACATGGTAAGGAGTATGATTAGTCATTCAAACTTACCAAAATCACTCTGGGGAGAGGCATTAAAGATCGCAGCTTATATTCTGAATAGAGTACCATCTAAGGCTGCTGCTAAAACACCTTATGAGTTTTGGACATGAAGAAAGCCTAGTCTAAAGCATTTTCACGTTTGGGGATATCCAGCTGAGGCTAGGCCTTATAGGCCACATGAAAAGAAATTAGACTCCAAAATAGTAAACAGCTACTTTATTGGCTATTCTGAGCGATCTAGGGGCTACAAATTTTATGATCCCACACTTAAGTCAATTTTTGAAACGGGAACTGCAACATTTTTTGAGGATGTTGAGTTTGGAGGGAAAAATAAGGTTAGAGACATTGTCTTTGGGGAAGAAGTTGAGGAAGGATCGGTCTCGATCCCTACTATTACTTTTGACAATGTACAGTTTTCTATACCTGTCATTGATCAAGAAGTATATCCAGAATCTCAACAAGACAATGTTGAAGAACCTCCCATCCAAAATGAGGCAATTATTCCAGAAGTGCAAACTCAACAACCTCAAGAACCAATGTCATTAAGGAGATCCACGAGAGAATGGAAAAATGCTATTCCGGATGATTTTATAATATTTCTCCAAGAACAGGAGGAAAATAATGAAATGATGGAAGATGATCCAGTCAATTTCCATCAGGCCATGCAGGGTTCTAACTCTCAAAAGTGGATTGATGCCATGAATGAGGAGTATAAGTCTATGCAAGATAATAAGGTTTGGGATCTTGTCCCGTTACCAGAAGGTGCGAAACCCATCGGTTGCAAATGAATTTTTAAAACCAAAAGAGATTCGAAAGGTAATGTGGAAAGATATAAGGCTTGTCTTGTGGCTAAAGGCCTTACCCAAAAGGAAGACATCGACTTCAAAGAGACTTTCTCTCCAATTTCAATGAAAGACTCGTTCAGGATAATTATGGCACTTGTTGCGCATTTTGACCTTGAGTTACATCAGATAGATATTAAGACGGCGTTTCTCAATGGTGACATTGACGAGAAGATCTATATGGTGCAACCAGAAAACTTTGTGTCTGGAGACCTGAAGAATATGATTTGCAAATTAAAGAAATCCATCCATGAGCTCAAGCAAGCTTCCCGTCAATGGTATCACAAATTTCATCAAGTGATTATCTCATTTGGTTTTGAGATGAATGCTGTTGATGATTGTGTGTATCACAAGTTTAGTGGGAGTTAGCATATTTTTCTGGTTTTGTATGTTGATGACATACTGCTTGTCGCTAATGATATAGGCATGTTACATGAAACTAAGAGATTTCTGTCAAGGAATTTTGAGATGAAAGATCTTGGTGACACCTCTTTTGTATTACGGATTTAGATACGTCGAGATCGTTCTCGAGGTATTCTTAGATTGTCACAAAAGAACTATATCGATAAAGTACTTAAGAGGTTTGACATGCAAGACTGTAAATCAGGTGACACCCTTGTCGTCAAGGTAGATAAATTTAGTCTCAAGCAATGCCTGCAAAATGACCTTGAAGTTAAGGAAATGTAGAAGATTCCCTATGCATCAACTATTGAGAGTCTAATGTATACTCAAGTTTGTACACGTCGAGACATAACATTTATTGTTGGAATGCTAGGTAGATATTTAAGTAACCCTGGAATGGATCCTTGGAAAACAGTCAAAAGGGTTATGAGGTATTTAAAGAGAACAAAGGATTACATGCTCACATATAACAGATCGGATCAGTTGGAGATCATAGGGTCTCCGATTCTGATTTCGCTGTATGCCAAGACAGTAGAAGATCCACATCAGGCTATATCTATCTGCTAGCTGGAGGAGCTATTTCTTAGAAGAATGCCAAGCAGATACTCATAGCTTCTTCTACCATGGTTGCAGAGTTTGTAGCATACTATAAGGCATCTAACCAAGGAATATGGTTGCGAAACTTTGTCACTGGGTTGCACATTCTGAATGGCATAGAAAGACCACTAAAGTTATACTGTAACAATAACTCTGCAGTTCTATATTCCAACAACAATAGAGGCACATCTAAGTCAAAACACATGACATTAAATTCCTGGTCGTGAAGGAAAGAGTACAGAGTGGACAAATTTTCATAGAGCACATTGGGACGAACTCCATGATTGTGGATCCGCTTACTAAAGAATTGCCACCCAAGGTCTTTCATGAGAACACTGCTCGTACGGGTGTCAGATTTATTGAGGATATCGTATTTTAGTGGGAGTTTGTATTCTTATTGCTTTATGTTCAATTGGACACATTTGTGTAATTGGATATTTTTCTATACAGAAATAAAGTATTCAGTTCATTTCACTCTGTTATTATATTCAGTATTGATCTCACTTAAGAAATAAGGTTGGATCAGTTGGAAATAGACATGTTTGGATCACATAACATGTAATTTCCATACTACGCTCCCATGATTGATTTATGTCATTTGGTTGTATGGGTGTACGTGACCATTGATGGATTCAGTCATGTTAAGTATGAAGAAAATCGCTTTGATCTTACATCAATATGACGAATAGACGAGATTGTTTGAAAATACCCTTAATAATGATGGCAAATTTTGAGCTCATGAGTTGTGCACATTTAAAAGATTACATGTATGGTTCAGTGGGAGATTGTTAGAAAATTCCAACATATATAGGGCCACACATGTATATAAATTAAAATGTGTGTTGCTATCTTAAAGTTTTAATCCATTAAAGTGATCCATTGGGTTTAATTTTGGACTTATGGGTATTCAGTGTTGTGGGATTAAAATGTAGAGATCAGGTGGTTGTTTAAATTGATGAGGGGCCAATTTAAAACAAACAAAAGGTGATAACTGCCTACAGTTATTTATCATGGGGTCATGGTCCCAACTACACGTAAAATTTTCTAGATTCTCTGCATCCCCATCAATAGAGAGCTTTCAAGAATTCAAAAGGAATTCACGTAACAGTTGGAGGATTATGACTCGAACAAACTCAATTACAATTTATGGATCAAGGTACGCTTCCGCTTTCATCTTGTTCCCTTTGGTTCAATGTGGAGCATTACGATTTTGGTGAAAGGATCTATTAATTCCTTTCTAATTTGAATTTTCAAGAAATATCTATCTAATTTCACCAAGGAATCATGTCCACTTTGTAAACATGTGTATATAGGACATGTGTATATGTATAACATAGAATTCCATTCAATAACTTATAATACAATGGATAAAGCTTGATGTATATAATTTTATGTATACAAAAGTGTCTATACAGTCACATAAATATGGAATCATACTCAAACATGTAAATAAGTGATGTAAGGGATAGTGATTATGCACGAACAACTTAATCAATCAAGTCTTCATAGAGGTCTGACATAATTTCAGGCCCGTCGAATCAGACAGCATTCAAAGCTCAAGGAGCTTGAATTTCCAACTAAAGCAAACTAGAAACTTTAAAAGATTAGCCGATGGTATATTCAGTGGGCATTTGGTCTAGTGGTATGATTCTCGCTTTGGGTGCGAGAGGTCCCGAGTTCGATTCTCGGAATGCCCCCTTGGTTTTTGCCTTTTGGATCTAACTTTTGGGCTTCAACATTCTGTGTGCCCATAGGCCCATCCAAATTTTACCATTTCGCTATTTCCGTTTAAACGCGAATTACGCCTTAAATTTCTTCTGCAACCAGAAAAATATTAATTGGGTTTCGAATTTCAGCGGTCATCTTTAGCTACTTATTATTCTCCAAATTTGCATGCCCCGCAAAAATTATGTAAAAAAACTGATTAAAGTATGATGCCACTTCAGTAATTTCATGTGTAGTTTACAGAAATGGTCTCTATTGCTTACACTTGTTGCGGATTGAGGATTTACCCTTGACTGTGTAATTGGCCCGTTCTGTTAGTTTCTGTTCAATTTTTCTGTAAGAATGGCATTGATATTTCCAGAAATTATTGAAGAAGAAGTACCAAACTAGAGATATATACATAAATGTACCTATTATACACATTGATTTGACAAGAAAGACCCATAAAGCGATGAAAGAAGAACTTACTCTTATTAAAAAAACCTATGTGCCTTTAATGGAGAAATTGAACAATAGTAACTGACAGAAATAGGATTTCAAATGTCAAAATTGAAATGATACGTCCTCAATCTATAAACAAGTGCAAGATAGAGACTATTTGTGCAAAAAGCCAATTTTCATCATCTGAATGACGACATGTGATGAAGTGATGAAATTTGAAACTAAGCTAAAGTTTATGATCCAATGTGAAATAAAAGTGAAGTTTAGTGACCAATTTGAGATAAATTAAATTTCGAAAAGCTAATTGAATTTTCTTTGAACCTTTAGTGACCAAATAAGAAATTTACCCTAAATTGGAATTTAAAATTGCCTTGAATACTCGTTCACACATTCTACCAAACTTACCTCCGTATCCTATCTTCCTATACACTCCCACCCTGTTTCACTAAATTCAACAATGGCTTCTACATTATCCTCAATTATCATCCGTCCATCCACTTATCCTGCGCCCTATGCCGCTTATCCTGCGCATCCTTCAGCCACATTTCCAAAACAATCCATTGAATTCCCTCAAAAAACCAACGCCAATTCCCGCTGTCGGAACCGCGCAACCTTTCTTCGCCCCCTCTCCGCCGTAGAAGCCCCGGAGAAGGTTGTCGAGCTCGGTGACCAGATCTCGAACCTGACCCTTGCTGATGCGCAGAAACTCGTCGAGTACCTCCAGGACAAGCTCGGTGTTTCTGCTGCTTCCTTCGCTCCCGTAGCCGCGGTCGCCGCTCCCGGCGGCTCGGGAGTGGCGGAGGCTCCCGTTGTAGCGGAGGAGAAGACGGAGTTCGACGTGGTTATAGAGGAGGTACCGAGCAATGCGAGAATTGCTACTATTAAAGCAGTTAGGGCTTTGACTAATTTGGCATTGAAGGAAGCCAAAGAATTGATTGAGGGATTGCCAAAGAAATTTAAGGAGGGTGCGTCGAAAGATGAAGCTGAGGAAGCGAAAAAGCAGCTCGAAGAGGCAGGTGCTAAAGTGTCCATTGCTTAGCCTTTTCAATTAGTGATAAATTTTGAATGAATAGTTCTAGATGCAGTGCAGTGAATTCGATTTAAACCAAACATTCCATTACGATTTCTGGGTTTGAACCGAACTGAACTTCTTGTTTGTTTGATTCATTCTAGTCTGAACTACTGTCCCTACACATATGTTGGTTGATGAAAATGTGTTAATTCCTGGGATTTTTTTCATCGGTGAAGAGAAGAGAGTGGGAAGTGATAGAAGTGTAGTTAGTACATGCTTGGTAAGTTTAAAAAGAAGAGAAACGACGAGGGAAGAGAGTTGTGTTTGCAAACAAATATTAATACAAAAACACTATTCTGAGTAGGGTAAGATGCAGGGGCGGAGCCAGAGACCGTGTCGAGTGCGGGCACAATTTTAGTCATCCGCTACAGTGAAATTTTTTGGCCAAAAACTTGTCTATTTGAAATCAGCCAAAACTAATTATCTATGGCCATTTTACTCTCGGCACAGAAACTTAAAAACAAAACAAAAGACTCAAAAGTAAACTAGCTAGATTTTAAACTATAGCTAATAATAATAAACCAACCAAAATCGGTTCAACTTAAAATATAAATTCGTCCCATATATTGCTTTGATTTATAAACTCATGGAGTAAACAAAAATTCTGAAAAATTCAAAAAAATACCCAATCCAAGTGGGTGAGACCACCAGAGAATTGGATCCCAATCGACAATCGGACGGAATGTGATTCACTCCACAGGCATGACGGAATTTAAGAGAACAAGAGAAAAGCTAAAAGGGTTTGCATTTTGGAATGGGAATGCCGAGAAGGGGATTGTCCGTATTCACAATTTCACGGCATTTGAAATTCTGATTTTTGTGTTCTAAAATGTAATGGACATTTGAATTGGATTTGAGCTAATGTTAAAAAAAAGGGGCCCAAAACAAAGCTCACTACCAAAAAAAAGGGCCCAAAATTGGAAAACAAACCATCACCTTCTTCCAGTTCACCCTCTCTACAACTAGCCCTTCAATTTTCACAGACGGTTTATTGAAGTTTGAACTAAAGTGGATGTAGAGGAAAAAGGTGATGAAGATGATGAAGCGCCATACGGGTTTGACTCGGAATGGATGTGGAACATCAGTGTAGCTATAAAGGCACGACCTTTACGAACCTGTCTTCAAGGTCTTCAGCTCCCGAAGATCCTAGTGCAGGCACATCCCTTTGCGAACCTGTTGCCGGAATCCTTGTGCGGGCAGGTGCCTGTACTGGCCCTGAAGTAGCTCCGCCCCTAGTAAGATGTGACCCACATATTCTAGTCCACAGACAAACAGCCCACTCAGGTCATCAAAATAGGGCCGGACTCTCAGGATTGCGAATCTTCAGTTGGATCGTCATAGTCACGGCACAATTTTTAATGCTAAGCATCCTCAAAAAAGGTAACTGCAAAGCATACTCACGTAACTGCTCAATTAGTTGATTAACATGACTTATTCTAGACTATTATTAGAATTCTAGATACTAGTGAGAAAATAGAGAAAATTTAGAAACTCATATTGTTATGGAGCTAAAGATTTTATTTATCTTTTTCAATGATCACACAATGAAAGAAGACTCCTTATAGAGAGGAGGGTAATTTAATCTTCGGATACAATAATACAAGCTAGTACAATAATTCTACAAATAGACATACAACTTTTAAAAACATACATGACTCTAAGTACAATGATGATACAACAGACAAAAATTGACTAAGCAATCCTTATTTTGATAAAGAGAGAATATGATTTTACGGACGTTTAATTAAAGCAAACAATGCTTCATCAATTATTGTACAAAACGATATATAACTCATAAAAAATGATAGAATACTTTTATTACGCAAGTTGATTATGATTTCATTGTGCACCAAGTCTTGCTGTTTTTGCTAGATTATCTGAATTTTCAGAATTTGATGGTAATCCATCTTGCTTCCACCAATATTTATTTTCATCTTATTTTTGTTTTCTTGACACTATTATAGTTTTTCAAGATTTTCTAGATCGTAAGAATCAAAAGAGTACGACCACAAATCTTGAGAACCTTGAAGTTGGGACAGTGTTGGTTTTTGTTGTCTTTAGCTTTAACCTTCATGTGATACATTTTCTTTTCCTTTTAATCTCCTTTTGGTGAACTATGGGATGTCTCTTTCAATCTACGATAGTAAGGATGTTTCATTCAGCATTTTCTATAACCTTTCTTAGAACTATTGGCCTTCAGAAGTGTCTTTCGAGCACTTGGATATCTATCCTAGACTTGTATTGGCCGTCCTAGATACAATTGATTCTAAGAATTATCAAAATGATAGTTATCAGGAGGGTGATCGGATACTAATTATAAATCTGGCTTAAACTCTGCATGAAGTTAAATATCTTGTTGGATTCTTTGTGCGTAAGTCATGGCAAAGTTTTCTATGGTGTATCATCTTCAATGTCAGGCCAAAAATTTCTAGAGAAATTGTTTGATTGAGTTCTGCCATTTTCCTTCGGAATGTTATGAATTCTTGGGGATATTTTTCACAAACCTCGTGGAGATTGAACGGTTGAACTTGAACTGCATGTTCCTCATCATTAGAAAAGTGTTCATAGTAACCTGCTTAAGTAAAGTAGTCCCATTTTTGAAAAATCAAAATTGCTGAACATTTAAGAATGAACTCTTAAGATGTTTGGATTTCTTTGAAAAAGTACGAAATTTTCTCTCCAATATAAGAGTGGGTAAAAATAAAACCATTCAAAAATCTTAGAACTTCATTGCTTGCTTTTGAAACAAATTCTGGGTAATCCTTCTAGAGGTATGAAGTTATTTCAGGAAGCCATGCAACATACTATTAGTATTAAAACATATTGTAATTCGATGTAACTCATGAAGGTACCAGGGAAAACATAAAAGTTCTTTTGACAATTTTTCTTTTACTTGCTCTGGGTTAAAATAAAACAGGTTTAGAAATGGATAATCTGGATGAAAATCAAGTCCTCCAAGAATTTGGATGCTGTACTTTCTAATAACCATGGATTGTTATTTTAACATAAGTTTTTTTGACTTCGAATGAATTGTCCAGTTTTTTATCAGGTTTTGGAGTTTAAGAGGGAAAATAATCTTATACATATGCAAGTGATTCATATTGGGGAGTAGTTGTAACGATTCAGTCTCTGTGCTCAAATCGTTAACTTACGTACTGTCCATTTTAGGCTAACCTGAGCCCATATTATGCCTCACGACTTTCGTCACGTTTCAAGATTCTAACCCAAGATTCCTACCTCTTGAGTCCTAGTACCAATTGGACAGATGGACTTAGGCACTCCCAAAATGGACGGTAAGTTAATGGCCTGAATATAGAGGCCGTGTTGTTACAAAATATGTGTATTTTTTTGTAACGACCCGAATCTTTATGTCTGAGTTGTTAACTTACGTAATAGCTGTTGTGGGAGATCTTAGCCCATCTTAACCCTCAGTATTTTGATGCGTCTCCAATTGACACCAAGATTTAAGTAAAGTTTCTCTTAATTGAAAGGCAGTAGGTTCGAATCCTGGGGTCGCAATAGAAAGTCATGAAGGCCAAGATGTGTTAGGCTGTCCCATAGTGGACATTAAGTTAATAGCTTAGGCATAAAATGTCTAATTGGTACCATGATTCAACTTAAATCTCTTTTAAGGAAAATGTCATGTGTTCGAATCTTGGAGACATGACAGAAAGCCGTGAAGGGTAAGATGGTCTAAGCTATCTCATAGCGAGTAATACGTAAGTTAATTCCTTATGCATAGAGTAACGACCCAACTTTTATGCTAAAGCCGTTAACTTACATACTGATCGCTATGGGAGGAGAGCTAAGCCAATCTTGCCCCTCGCGAATTTTTATCATGTTTTTGGGATTCGATTCCATGACTTTTCCCTTAATAGAGATTTAAATTGAATCCTGGTACTAATTGGAAAGGTAAGATAGGTTAGGCCCACATATAGCGGACATTATGTAAATTAATGGTTTAGGCATAAAGGCCATATCGCTATAGTAGTACTTCTAGAAGAAAACGATGGTGAAATGAGAATTTGTGGATACAAAAGTTGTTCCAAAGAGTCAGAAGAACATTACCACTCCACAATCCAGGAAATCTTTGCAGTAAAAAGGAGAACTGAAAATTTTCAATTTCTTCTTATTGGTCACAAGTTTTAGTTGAAATGGACATGAAATATCTTCAAAATTTAAACTTAAAAAAGAAACAAATTTCAAATTCACAGCTTTTTTGATAGGCGGAATGATTTTCAAAATTTGACTTCGAAGTCAAACACATTAAATGAAAGAAAAATCCATATTTGTTTAATATTCAAAAATCTTAGAACTTCATGATTAAGTATTCATGTAATTCTTGTTTTCCAAAGAAAGGATTATTTTATTGAATCAGATTATCATGAACATTTTTCTCATGATAAGGAATATGTAGTCTAATTGTTCAATTTCCACAGTGATTGTGAAAAATATCCTCAAGAATTCTGAACATTCCCGAGAAAAATGACAGAACTCAATGAAACAATTCCTCCAGAAATTTGGTCTAACATTTAAGACGATGCACCATGAAAAACTTTGCCAATGACTTATGCAGAAAGAATCCAATAGGATATTCAATATCCATATGAAGAGTTTAAGCTAGACTTATAATTATTATCCAGTCTACCCTCTCAACGATTATCATTTTGATAATTATTGGTATCAATTGTATCTAAGAAGACCAACACAATGTCTAAGTTAGACGTCCAAGTAATTGGAAGACATTCCTAAAGGCCAAAAGCTCATAGAAAGGTTATGGAAAACGCTGAATGAAAACATCCTTACTACTACACTTTATGCTGGAAGAGACATATCACACTATTAGCGAGAAAGAGATCAAAAGGAAAAGAAAATGTATCATAAGATTCGTGGTTTTACTTTTTTAGTCGTTACGATTCAGAAAATCTTAAACAATAACTTCAAGAAGATAAAAACAAGATGGAACATATGCTTTGATGGAAGCAAGCTGGATTAATGTTAGATTTCAAAGATTCAGATGAACTAGCAAAAACAACAGATCTTGGTGTACTGTGAAAACATCATCAACTTGGTAATAAAAGCACTTTATCATTTTGTATGAGTTGTATGTCGTTTTGTACAGTAATTGATGAAGCACTTGTGCTTATCAAAAGTTTGTAAAAGCAAT